AACAAGTATTGTAAATAGTTAGAATATGTTTTCAATAAAATTTTTTTACGTCTTATATTTTAAAGTTTATCCTTTTATTCCAACTACCACACAATCTCATATCAACTCCCTGAGCGAAGCTGGGTACCCCAGCTAGTTCAGAATATATTAAGCCAGCAAAATTTTCAACATTATTATAGATAGCATACATGTAATATTAAATACTGAAAATCAACAAATAGTTTATCATCAATTATTATATTTCCTTGAATAAGCATCTGGGCACTTATGGCACTTATTCATTTTGACAGATCAAATCCACAGTGCTTATTCAAGACCAGTAACTATTTAAGACCTGATGCTTCATTTTTACAGTTGATTACTTTGACTACTGTAATTCACATTGTTTTAATATGGTAATATAATTTTTAGTCAAAAAAACATCAGACTCCCTACTGCTAAATTATAAAAGCAACTACAGTAAAACCTTGTTATTTTGGACCAATGGATCAAAAAAACACAACTTTGAATTATCCAGGTTCAAATTATCCAAACTTTTTTTTGAATCAAAGTTTTTTGTAATTTTTGAATAAAATTATGGCATTATCTCATATACTAGTTCATTTAAAAATGCATTATTATTTTATGATAATAAAACAACAAATATTTTTATTGTTTTATTACCATAAATTAATAACAAAAATAATTATTTTATTCAATTTATTGTTTGATTTTCTCAATAATCCAATTAATCTCAGTACAACTATTGACAAACATCAGTAGAAGACAGCCATTTTATAGGTATTATTCTTGTATGAAGGAAGACATTATATCCTTGGTACAAGAATAATACCATATGTGAGAAATGTGCAACAGCCCATTTTCACATGAATTTTCCAAAAATGGAAACAAATTTTTTATAGAAACAGTCTCAGCAAACTTGTATTTTACTGTAGTCTAAAATGAAACACATTCAATACTGATGATGTAAAAATCTGCAAAATTTTGCAAATTTTTAACTTTAACATGATTCAAATAGTGTCCTGGTGCTTATTTGGTACATTAAAGTAAAAGGCAAGTGCTTATTCACTTCCATGTGCCAAAATTCCCAACAATTATTCAAGGTAGGTAGCTAATTCTGTCACAGAGCTATTTTAAGGAAATATGGTTAGATAATAATATTCAGCTTAAAGATATAAATCAGTAGGGACAGCAG